GCATCACGAAGTTTACCAAACCGCTCTTGTCGTCGCTGTAGCCCACATCTCACCTGAAATACCGCTTGTCAACGCATGATATCTCGTGTTTTTTCGATCTGAAAGACCGCTTTCACCTAGGTGAACCGCAGCCCAAAAATATCCTGCTCGGCGTGGAGCTGCTTTTTTTCTTGTTACTTAAAAATCCCACCATCGCACAAAACAGCTGACCACCCAATGCACGAGGCATCTGCAAAGACACTAGTAGTCTTAACATCCATGCACGTTTTTGGGGAAATGTTATATCATTACCAGCACGAACCTTTGTAGAGTGTTCAAGTGTACTTTTCTTCCCTCTGCCAGAGGGGAAAGCCATGTGAGCCACGAGTGTCAAGCCTCGCATAATTAGCATTTGCATAGATGGTATTTTCGAGGTCGAGTTGGGACAGCCTTCGAGAAGTTGCTTAGATTTGCCCTCATTTGCAGAAAAGCCGACATTTTTGTGTGTGTGTGTGTGTGTGTGTGACGAAAGCGGTTTACAGGCCACGTGCCCCCTTGGGTCAAGGTCAGAACCGTTGGTGTGATTGGGTAAAAAGCACACACTTAGGTGCCGCGACCAGGCGATCGATGCATTACCGTACACCTCAACTTCCACGATATGAATTAAGCATGCCAGGAATCAGTTATCGGTGGTAGAGCCAAAAGAAGATGGTAGATTTTAAACTAAGTCCTCACATTGCGAGTGCTGCTTGGAGTGTGGTGTCTGTAGGGAATAATCCCAAATCATTTTAAGCGCCCCGATTTATTTAAAAAAAACCTCATGTCGCCTGGCCGACTGTTTCTGCCCTAAGCAAATCACGCTCTTCTATGCAGGTTGATTAAATTAGTAGAAGTCACGTGATTAATTTGTACAGACTAAGCTGTTAGCGACGTTGAGTTTTTGGTTGCTTGATTGGAATATCTGAAACCCCTAAAATAATAACTTTTGGATACTCAAAAACCCGACTATCAGGTCAATTTACGGGCAGAATATCGATTGATTTCCGAGAAAATGTGAATTGCTTAAAAACAGTGGAAGCGCCATATTTAAGTGTAACATAAAAATGTTGGGAAATGTCTTTACTGTCGAGAAACTTGCCACACTCTTTAATCAACTTTTTAAACATGGTGATTAATGGTTTGACGGAGTGGAACCTCAACTCTTTCCACTTTAATTAACACAAAAATGTCTGATTTCGTGTTCAATATTTTCTTGAAACGCGTTTCCTTTCAATTCCACCCCAGCTTTCATTTGTGTTTCCTGCACTTAAAAATGCCCTTTAGCGAGTGCACTTCTTGAAAAATTTATTCAAGAAATGCAAGACAGGTTTTATGGTTTCCTCAAAGTCTGTTCTGTTGCGGGCACTTCTTTCCCTCGTTATTGTGAAAAAAAACTAGCTTTGACTTTCAAATCGCCATCACTTCGTGAATCGTGCCAAATGCAATGAATTTTAATTCGGACAATCCTCACACACACAAACAAATGATTTATCCTCTAAAAATTTCACTCAATGTGAAATTATTAAGATGATTAATTTAAGATATGGGCCCCCACTAAACTGTGGTTAGAAGCCAT